AGGGGGAAAGGCGGGGAGGGGAGGGAGAAGGGGTGAGGTGGGGAGGGGGAGGAGGCGGTGGTGGTGGTTTGGAGAGAATTTGAGAGACCGATAGACCTGTTTTAATTGGGAGTGGGGAGGGTCCTATTGGTGTTCACAAGTACTATCCCAAAATATTGGGGAACACGGGGTTAAGTACGAGGGAGGAACTGAAAGAAATCAATACTCCAGGAGACAAATGGCGTAAGCGAAATGGATGGCATTAATGGCTGATTAAACCCCTAGGTCATGATAATCTGTATCCTAGAGTACTTAAACAAGTAGCCCTAGCAATAGTGGATGCATTGGTGGTCATCCTTCAAGGTTGGATGGTAGCTAATATGAAAAAACATTTTCGTAAACAGAAATTGCTGAAGAAACTCAGCAGGTCTGGCAGTATCTATGGAGAGAAATCAGAGTTAACGTTTCAGGCCAAGTGACCTTTCCTCAGAACTGACGACATTTTTAGGGCTTGAGCACCTTCCCATTACTTTCGCTCACCCCCACACACCCAGGCCTTGTTGTCACATGGCCTGCTATTATACACAACTTATTGTTAGCCACCAGTAGTCCCCATTAGCAGCTTTTGATTCTCCTCGGCTGACCATCATCTGTCCAACCTTCTTTTCCTTTTTGGACTCTGTCTCCACCTATCATTTACTCCTTACCCCTCCCTCACCCTATCTTCTGCATTAAAACTAACTTTTTCTTGAGCTACCATCAGTTCCAAAGTTGAAAGTGCGTGCCAGTTTACATGGACTTTCAGAAAGCTTTTGATAAGGTCCCATATGAGAGGTAGCATATAAAATTAAAATGTATGAGATGGGGAGAGTGTATTAACACAAGTTTGTTTTCTGATGTATGCACTAAGATTATTTCAAATAATTTCTTATATAATGCATGAGAGTTTAGTTTATTCCTTTGTGCATAATCTTTTATGTCATTGTGTTGAACTTTAAGTCAACCTGTTATGAATATGTTCAATCACTGACCAATACAATAAATGATTTGCAACAATGAAACTTATGGTCCATTCACTTCACTTAAGGACCTGACTCGTCCAGTATTACAATCAGCTGGGATCATAATCTCTTTTAGTTTCTTGCCCTGCCATTTTTTTTTTCTGAGGTGCAGTCCATGATGAGCTTCCTCTCCTCTGGTTCATTTTCTGTAAACTGTGAAGGAGTGATCTGAGATTGTTTGCTTGGTGCCTTAAACTCCCAGGTCCCATTGAACTCTTCAACTATTGGACTAATTGCATTAATATGATTCTGATTCAAGTTACATTATGTTAGTCTTAGCTCAGTCTAGAGAGGGTAAGAGAAAAGAGCTGGAAAACCTGTCATGGCAGCATCACTGGAGAGAAGTGGAAGTTAATGTTTCAGGGTGACCACCTTTCATTAGGACTAAAGTGAAATAGAAATGTAAAAGTTTTAAGGTGGGGAGGGAGTAGGAAAAACAACAAAGCAGCTCCATGGTAGTGTGGAGGCCAGAGAGGTTAAATAACAGATGATTTTCAGAATGCAGCAACCAAAAGGAATGGTAATGGATGTAGTCAAGAAACAAAAGTTGTGTCCAAATGTGATCTGAATTGCTCCGTAAAAACATTCAAATGCAGCATAAAGAGATAAAGAAAAGTGATGAAGGCAAACTTGACAAAATAAAAAATGAGATGGACTTAAATGTTATGGCGTAAAGTTGTTCAGCCCAGTAGGCTCAATTAGTTGCATTCTTGACTGATGTGATTACTGAGACTTGGGCCCATAATCTAGGCTAACACTCCAGTGTTGTCCTGAAGGACTGCTGCATTGTAGTAGTGTCATCCTTCCAAGGAAAGAGCAGTGGGGAAGTTTTCCCTGATTTCCTAGCCTCTTGAGCTCTTCATTGAGAAGATATTTTCTGATCATTACCAGAATGCTGTCTGTAAATTCCTATACCATGACACTGATTATTGACTGTAAAATGCTTTGACATATTTGAGGTTACTAAAAGTGCTGTACAGTTGCAAGAGTTTACTTTTTAAAAGAGGTACCAAGATCACATGCAATTATTGAAAGGAACAACATGCAAAATAATTTCATTTTGCTGTTCCTTTTTATTTCTCAGAAGCCATGAGTTGAGTTTCTGGACATAAATCAGATTGGAACACCAGGAGTGGCGGCCGTGCCGATGTAAGTTGTTAGTTCCTGGTGATTGACGCAGGAGTTCGTTCTGGGAGCCGTGCACTACTGGCGCCAAGATGCTGTTCTCACTGCGGGAGCTGGTGCAGTGGCTGGGATTTGCCACATTTGAAATGCTGCTGCACCTAGTTGCCTTCCTGGTATTCTCTGTGCTGCTTGCTTTGAAGGTGGACAATTTTGCAAAGTTGGACTGGTGGTACGTTTTCATCCCACTCTTCACTGCTGATGGGCTCAGCACCTACTTCACCGTGATTGTGTCCATCCGCCTTTTCCAGGATGGGGAGAAACGTTTGGCAGTCATGCGCCTCTTCTGGATCCTGACTGTACTCAGCCTGAAGTTTGTCTTTGAGATGCTGTTGTGCCAGAAACTGGAGGGGCAGAGCTCTCAGCTGTGGTATGGCCTCATCATGTCGCCCGTCTTCATTCTCCTCCAGCTGCTGATGATTCGAGCTTGTCGAGTCAACTGAGCCCTGAAACCTTTCACTCCACGCCTCCTATTCAAGCTGTTGGATGGCTAGACACACAGTCTGATGAATGTTGATGTTTGGAGGGGGAAGAAGGGGTACATTCAGTTTAATAGAGCTCTCTTGTCTTGCTGCTGTCCTGCCATTGCTGAGTTTTAATGAAGCAGTGCAAACTGCAACATGACCAACCTTGGAATTCCATGGCTGGCTTCAGGGATGGAAATGTCAGCAAGATAGTGAAAGTAGAGACAAGAGGTTCTGTGTTTCACTGGTAACGTGCAGCTCGCATAGGGGCTGTAGCAGTATCCTGCCCCTCCGTTCCAAAATCAAGGCCCTTAGAGAAGGGAGGATGCAGTGGCCTGCAAGACCATGACTGATATTCCATCTCAACATTTTAATGTATCAGTCATTCACGTAGGTTACGCTAGCTGTGACCCAGGAAGTTGTGTTTGGGCAGTACTTATTTAAATTGCTCAAAGTGTGGTGATATTGTTGAGTTTTGAGCCCTATGGTTTTCAGGGGAATATTTGTTCTAATGATTAGTGAGAAAAGCAAAGACAGCCTTTCATTGCTGGTAATATTCTTGTTGGACCACATGCGGCGCAAGGATGCAGTAAATAAAATCATAATTGCAATTAATTATAAAAAACATTAACTTCCCAATTCCTGTGTTTCTGTTTTGCCAAGTTAATTGCTAAGCAACTTATCCCTTCACTGTAAAAACAGGCAACCTGACTGAATTTTAATGTGTCTAATGAAGCATTTTACAAATGGACAATCTTAAACAAAGACCCAGTTTCAAACCTGGTGTTTAAACTTTTTCAAATGATGAACGTTAACTGAATTTAAGAGGGACATTTGATGTTCTTGGGAGGTTCCTGGTGGTACTATGAGTTCTGTGTTCTACATTATGTAATTGTACCAGGTTTGTGAAAAAGTATAAAATTAAATTTATGCAGATCTGCATTAAAGGTTGGTTCTGATAACTGCTCGCTTAACATTTCAGGGATTTAGATTAAAGTCAAGGTTTCTAGGCTGAAGCCATCACATGTGGCGTTCACATAGTTTCAGTTGGTCTTATCATTACTTTCAACTCTGCATTATTTCCATTATAACATTAATGGAACCTGTTCATATAAAGACTCTTGTCAGTGGAGGTGCTGAAATGCTGTGGTGGGTGTATTAATGCTGTGAAAGGTTCACCTTGATTGTCTTCATTCCAAATGTGGACTGACAAATTTATAACAGAAAATAAAAGTAAGGACAGCCTGTCCTGGTTCAATCATCCCCAACTATCCATTAACATAGCTTCATCTTAAAAACTTTTTGTCTTAATTCCCTTGAGTTTCCACTTCAAGAGAGTTTACAACCTCGTGTCTACAGAAGAAACACTTCAGTTCCTGTTCCACTCTTTATTTCAAGCTCACTGCTGATAATGTTAGGGATTTTCACAGTTTCAGTTGACTGCAGTTTGCCTTACAGTTGTCAGTTTATCACTGATCACCCATCACAATCTTTTCCAATTCATTTAGCTGTTTTCTGATGTGAGTATTTTAAACCCATTTGTTCAAGATTTTGTATGTGTTCTGGTTTATTTACATATGAGCTTACCATTTTGTTTACCTTTTATCTTTGCACCCAAGTTTGAGATTTTCCTATCAGAGCAATGTTATGAGCATATTTTGTCTTCTGAAGTTTGTGTTTCTGACATTGCTAATGAGGCTTCAGAACTGAACCCAATATTCAGAGAAGGTGCAGGGCAGAGGTAGAGCTAACTTTCAGAAAGGAATAACATGCAGGGTATAACCAAGACCAAAATCCAGTATTATGTGCTGGGTGGATCAAAGTGCCACTCTGCTTATGCGGAGTGTACTCAGTGGGAAAGGTGAGCAATGTCTGAAGGAGCAGGGGGGAGTCAAGTCAGAAAATTGAAGGGTTAAAGAATAATTGGTATCTATACAAACAGAGTGCGCCTATCTGGGCCTTTGTCCTTACATAGAGATGTACAGCATGGAAACAGACCCCTTGATCCAACTCGTCCGTGCCAATCAGATATCCTAAATTAATGTCCCATTTGCCAGCATTTGGCCCATATCCATAAGAACGAAGAAGAACAAAAACAACAATGCAGCACAGGAACAGGCCCTTCGGCCCTCCATATTAAAACTGTATTCCCTTACAGCATCTGTATCCCTCTGTTTGCTTCCCATTCATCTATTCATCCAGGTGCTTCTTGAATGCTGCTACTGTGTCTGCTTCCACCACCACCTCTGGCAAAACGTTCCAGGAACTCCCCATCCTTTGTGTGAAAACTTGTGTCACACATCTCTTTTAAACTTTCCCCTCCCTCGCACCTTGAACCTGTATCCCTTAGTAATTGACCCCTGCACCCTGTGAAAAAGCCTCATACTTTCCACTCTATCCATGCCATTCACACTCTTTAAAAACTTCAATCAGGTCGCCCTTCAACCTCCTGCATGCCAGTGAAAACAAACCCAGTCTATCCAACCTTTCTTCATAGCTAAAATTCCCCAAACCAGGCAACATCCTGGTAAACCTTTTCTGTACCCTTTCCAAAGCTTCCACATCTTTCTGACGGTGTGGTGACCAAACTGTACGCAGTATTCCGCGTGTGGCGACCAGAACCATACGCAGTATTCCGCGTGTGGCCTAACTAAAGTTCTATAAAGTTGCAGCATAACCTTGTCTATCCTTATACTCAATGCCCCTTCCAATGAAGGCAAGCATGCCATAAGCATTTTTTTACCACCTTATCTACTTGCGCTGCCACCTTCAGTGATCTGTGGACCTGCACACTCAGATTCCTCTGTATATCACTACTCCTAAGGGTCCTGTCATTCTCTGTATAATTTCCACCTGTACTTGATCTTCCAAAATGCATCACCTCACATTTGCCTGGATTAAACTCCAGCTGCCATTTTCTGCCCATGCCTCCAATTGATCTATATCCTACTCTATTTTCTGACAATCCTCTTCACTATCCACAACTCCACCAAATCATAAGCAAACTTACTATCATATCATAAGCAAACTTACTAATTAGACCAGTAACGTTTTCCTCCAAATCATTTATGTAGATTGCAAACAGCAGAGGTCCCTGCACTGATCCCTGTGGAACACTACTAGTCACAACCCTCCATTCTAAAAAGCATCCTTTCACCACCACCCTCTGTCTCCTGTGACTAAGCAAGTTCTATACCCATCTTGCCAGCTCACCCCAATACCATGTGACTTCACCTTTTATGCCAGTCTGCCATGAGGGACCTTGTCAAAGGCTTCACTGAAGTCCATGTAGATAACATCAACCACTTTTCCCTCATTAGTCATCTTCGTCACCTCCTCAAAAAACTCGATCAAGTTAGTGAGGCACGACTTCCCCCGCATAAAACCATGCTGTCTATTGCTAATAAGTCCATTTGCTTCTAAATGCATACAGATCTTGTCCCTGAGAATCTTCTCCAATAATTTCCCTATCACTAACTTGAAACTCTCAGGCCTGTAATTTCCAGTATTATCCCCGTTTCCCTTCTCAAACAAAGAGACAACATTGGCTATTTTCCAGTCCCCTAGGATCTCACCTGTGGCCAAAGAAGATACAAAGATGTCTGTCAATGCCCCAGCAATTTGCCTCCCTGAATATTCTCCAATAGATCCCATCAGGACCTGGGGACTTATCTACCTGAATACTTTTTAAGGTGTACAACAGCTCTTCCTTTTTAATAACAACTTGGTTTAGAAACTCAACACTCTCTTCCCTGAGATCATGCTCCATCAATTCCTTCTCTTTGGTGAATACTGACACAAAGTATTTATTTAGGACCTCACCTACCTCTTCTGGCTCCAAGCACAGATTCCCTCCATTGTCCTTGAGTGGGCCAACCCTTTCCCTGGCTACCCTCTTGCTTTTTATTTATGGATGAAAAGCCTTGGATTTTTATGGCCCTTTTTAGCCCCGGTAATTCCTTGTTTAAGTTCTTTTCTCTAAACTCTTCCTGTTCATGGACCATTCAGATGCGTTTTAATTGTTATAATTGCATCTGCCTCCCACATTTCCTCTGGCAGCTCATTCCATACATACACCACCTTCCATGTGAAAAAGTTGCCCCTTAGGTTCCTTCTATGTCTTTCCCCTGTCACCTTAAACCTATGCCATCCAGTTTTGGGCTCCCCTACCTGGGAAACAGACCTTGGCTGTTCAGCCTATCCAGGCCCCTCATGATTTTATAAACCTCTATAAGGTCACCCCTCAGCCTCCAGGGAAAATAGCCCCAGACTATTCAGTACTTCCCAATAGCTCAAACCCTCCAATTCAACAACATCCTTGTAAACCTTTTCTGCACTCTGTCAAGTTTAACAACATCTTTCCTAAAGCAGGGAGACTAGAATTGACCGCAGTATTCTAAAAGTGGCCTAAACAATGTCTCGCACAACCGCAACGTGACATCCTAACTCCTATACTCAATGCACTGACCAATAAAGGCCAGTATACCAAACACCTTCTTCACTACCCTGTCTACCTGTGACTCTACCTTCAAGGAACTATGAACCCGCACTCCTAGGTCTCTTTGTTTGACAACACTCGCCAGGACCCTACCATTAAGTGTACAAGTCCTGCACCGATTTGCCTTTCCAAAATCCAACACCTCACATTTATCTAAATTAAACTCTGTCTGCCACTCCTTGGCCCATCTGATCAAAGTCCTGTTGTACTCTGAGATACCCTTCTTCACTGGCCACCACACCAACAATTTTGGTGTCAGCTGCAAACTGAATAGCGATTCCTCCTATATTCACATTCAAATCATTTATATAAATGACAAAAGCAGTGGTCCGAGCACCAGACCTAGCAGCACACCGCTGGTCACAGGCCTCCAGTGTGAAAAATGACCCTCCACCACCACCCTCTGTCTCCTACCTTCAAGCTAATTTTGTATCCAATTGTTTGGCTCTCCCTGGATTCCATGTGACCTAATGTTACTAACTAGTCTACCATGGAGAACCTTGTTGAACACCTTGCAAAAATCCACTGCTCTGCATTCACCAATCTTCTTTGTCACTTCTTCAAAAAAACTTAATCAAGTTGGTGAGACATGATTTCCCACACACAAAGCCATGCTGACTATCGCTAATTGGTCATTGCCTTTTGAAATACGTGTAAATCCATCCTGTCCCTCAGAATCCCCTCCAGCAACTTACCCACCACTGACATCAGGCTCACCGGCCAGGAGCACATTGTATTTTTAAGATTGAACGGAACCGTGTGTTTGTGGAAGTCCTATCTTGTACATCACTTGCCAATCTAACTTTCTTGACAAATCATTTCTTTAGGAAATTATACTCATGTGATTGTCATCATAACCCAAAAGCCAGGCCGTTCACATTATTTTCACATTGTTACTGTCCTTCAACTATATTGAGCAATTTCCTTCTATTGTTATCCAAAAGTAATTCTCCATATCTAAGTCAGTCTGTAAGGATCTCACTGTTTCTTATTTGTGTGGAACTGAAACAAAAAAAAACTCTATTTTATAAAGTAGAGGAATTAACTATTGAAATGGTGTTTTCCAAATGCAATTTCCAAAGTAGAGCGTTGTTCTCTATACCTGGCCATGGCTGTGCAGTTTTGGGCTTGTTTAATCCTTGCTGTCCTCCAGTCACTGATACTGACCTACAATACTTTGATTCAAGAATTTATAGAACAGTATACCAAATACTTCCTGCACTGTATGTTTTGTACGGACTGTAACCTAAAGTGGAGAGGCAGAAGAGATGAGTAAGCATTTAGCTTGCTTGACGCTCAAAACTGAGGCAGTAACTTGGGAGTTGAAATCCCATTACAGGACTTGAGGCTGATCTGCCCTCAGTATTGTAGTGGGGTATTGTATTCTCACTGTTATTCTTGCAGACGGAATATTTAAAATCCCATCTGTCTGTTCAGTTGAATATCAGA